AGACAAATAGCGTATCTGCTTTTGAGATCCAAGGGTCCCTGGGTTACTGGGGCTTCTGACATTTGAACAGAATGGAGGAAACAAATGTCTTCTCTGGTTGTAGGGGATCCCTACTGACAGGAACTGGCTGTGTCCTTCTACGGGGCCCACCAGGCAGTGGGAAGACAACAGCAGTCACAGCTGCCTGTAGTCGCCTTGGGCTCCACTTTCTGAAGGTGAACCCTAACTGCTTCCCCTCCCCAGCCCAGAGTCTGTCTCCCTCTTCCTCTTGTCTTCCTCTGTTGACCATTGGCTCTAACAACTTTGCCTAGTGGCCACAGCATATTCCCACAATGTTCATCTCTTGAGAGTCCTTTCAAGAAAGCAGTGTTTGAGCTGGAGTTGTAGCTCAGTGGTAGAGTGCTTGCCTAGCACATGTGAGATACTGGATTTGATCTTCAGCACCACATAAAAATAAATTAATTAAATAAAGGTATTGTGTCCATCTACAACTAAAAAAAAATATTTAAAAAAAAAAGAAGTAGGAAGTGTTTTTAAGATTATGGTGGATAGTCCACAGAATGGGTTGGGTTAAAAAGTAAACCTTGGACTAGGGATGTAGTAAAGTGGTGGGGTGCTACTCCAGTATGCCTGAGATCAAGGGTTCAACCTCCAACTCCCTAAAAGGGAGAAAATGGGAGACTTTAACCTAGTATAGCCATACAAAGAAACGTCTGCCATGTCGGATTGGGTGTCACACATCTAGGGAGGCTGAGGCAGGAGGATCACAAGTTCTTGAAGCCAGCCTCAGCAACTCAGCAACCCTGTCTCCAAATAAAGAGGGCTGGGAATGTAGCTCAGTGGTAGAGCTCCTTGGGTTTAATGTTCAGTACAAAGGGTTGGGGGAGAGGGGAGAAATAGTAGAATTTGAACCCTCCTTTGCCCATCCCTGCCCTCCCAAGTAAAGATGACCTGTGTCCTCTAGTTTCTCCTTTCCCCACCTCCCTGTCTCAGTCATGCCTGCCCTTGCTCATAGACCATTGACACCCCTTTCCTAGGTGCCCTGCTCCAGCCTCTGTGCAGACAGCAGTGGGGCTGTGGAGGCAAAACTTCAGGCCACCTTCTCCCAGGCACGCCGCTGCCGGCCTGTAGTGCTATTGCTGACAGCTGTGGATCTTCTGGGCCGGGACCGTGATGGGCTGGGTGAGGATGCCCGTGTGGTGGCCACACTGCGTCACCTCCTCCTCAATGAGGACCCCCTAAGCAGGTATTTATGCAGAGCAGGATCTGCTGTAGATCTGAGGCCCCTGTCCTCTTAATTCTCTTTAGCCTTTCAGTCTTTTCTCACCCTCCTGTGGCTTCCAGCAATCTGCCCATTTGGCTACCCTAAGCTAAGGGTCTTTGGGGTGTTCAGGGGGAAGATTGTGGTTTCGTATTGGAGGGGGACACTAGGCTGAAGCGAAAATACAGCCTCTCCCCTCTGTGAGCTCCCCTTGTGGAGGGAGAAGCACAAGTCCTCTCAGGCTGTTTCTGTAGATTCCCATCCAGGAACACTTGAGTGATACTCATCTTCATACCCCATTCCAGCACCCACCCCACTTCCCCTGTACTTCTGCACCAGTCTTAGGACAAGGCAGTGCCCAGGAGCTGCCAGGCACATTGTCACTCTCAGTGCCCACTCCCGTCTGCAGTTGCCCTCCCCTGATGGTTGTGGCCACCACAAGCCGGGCCCAGGACCTGCCTGCTGATGTGCAGACAGCATTTCCTCATGAGCTAGAGGTGCCTGTGCTCTCAGAGGGGCAACGGCTCAGCATCCTGCAGGCCCTCACCACCCACCTGCCCCTGGGCCAAGAGGTGAACCTGGCCCAGCTAGCACGGCGGTGTGCAGTGAGTATCAACATAGATAGAACTCAGCCCCGATGCCCTGTGCATTAGGGTAGGAACCCCAAGGCCTTGGCTCCAGCTGGGGGACCAGCCCCACAAAGGTTCCTGCTACTTGCCCTGCTCATGTGTCCTTTCGCGTGATTCCTTAGGGCTTTGTGGTAGGAGATCTCTATGCCCTTCTGACTCACAGCAGCCGAGCAGCCTGCACCAGGATCAAGAATTCAGGGTAAGGGGAGTGGAGCACAGGAGGGAGAAGACAGGAAGAGGAAATTTAAGGGGAGGGGCTGGTGAGAAAAGAAGGACATGGGAACTGACAGGGATGAAGCCTTAAGTGCAGCCCTCCAGAGGCCTCTTGTGTGTCTCTCTGCAGTGTGGCAGGCAGCTGGAGCGAGGAGGATGAGGGGGAGCTGTGCGCTGCTGGCTTCCCCCTTCTGGCTGAGGACTTTGGGCAGGCACTGGAGCAACTTCAGACAGCTCATTCCCAGGCTGTGGGAGCACCCAAGGTGGAGACTCCAGCTCCTCAGAGGTGGGGAAGGTGCTTCCTCCACTTGGACATCCCCAACAGCCTGCTTTCTGTGTCTTAGATTCCCTCAGTGTCCTGGCATGATGTGGGCGGGCTACAGGAGGTGAAAAAGGAGATTCTGGAGACCATCCAGCTCCCTCTAGAGCACCCTGAGCTCCTGAGCCTGGGCCTAAGACGTTCGGGCCTCCTGCTCCACGGGCCCCCTGGCACAGGCAAGACCCTCCTTGCCAAGGCAGTAGCCACTGAATGCAGCCTTACCTTCCTCAGGTGGGCAAGGGGCCTGGAAGGGATGGCAGTTGGGTGAGGTGCTGTGGTGGGTTGGGGAGCAGAAGGGGATACCTGAGAGGTCAAACTGTGGGACCTGTTTCACCTTCTCACATCCTCTGGTTCAGTGTGAAGGGGCCAGAACTCATCAACATGTACGTGGGCCAAAGTGAGGAAAATGTACGAGAAGGTGAGCCGGATGAGAGGTAGAGCTTCTGGTCCTTCCTAAACCCTAATGGCTCCTGTGCCACTCCCCTCCTTAGGCTAATCCTGGTCATTCCTAGTCTTCCTTTCCACAAGTTGGGTTCCTGCCCAGGGGGACCTAGTATCTTCAGTGCCAGAGCTGAATTATTAGACCCTGGATCCCTCCCCTTCTTCCCTGATCAAGTCCTCCTGAGGTCCACTCCCCTTTCTGTGAGCTCCTCTCTCAGTCTTTTCCAGGGCCAGGGCTGCTGCTCCATGTATCATTTTCTTTGATGAACTGGATTCCTTGGCCCCCAGCCGGGGGCGAAGTGGAGACTCTGGAGGAGTGATGGACAGGTGGAGGCCCAAAGTAGGAGGGATGTGAGACAGGTTGTAGCAGTCTTCAGAGCCCCAAGACAGAAGTTCTTACCCTTTGAATTTTTTTTTTTTTTTCTTGTTTGTTTGTACCCAGGATTTAACCCAGGGGTGCCTTACCACTGAACTACATTGCTAGGCCTTTTTATTTTGAGACAGTCTTGCTGAATTAATGAGACTGGTCTAGAACTTGTGATCCTCCTGCCTCAGCCTCCCAAGTTGCTGGAATTACAGGCATGTGCCACCAGGCATGTGGCATGTGGAGTTGGGTGTGGAACACCGAAGAGAATGGGGGCTTACATGGAAGGGTATTCAGGACAGAGCTGAGCAGAGGGCCCTGTTGAGGCAGACTGTAAGAAGCAGCGCGACAGGCAGGGGCAGAGTCTGATCTGGACCAAGGACTCTCTGCCTTTGCTTCCTCCTCTACAGGGTGGTGTCTCAGCTACTGGCTGAGCTGGATGGACTTCATAGCACTCGGGATGTGTTTGTGATTGGTGCCACCAACCGACCAGACCTCTTGGACCCTGCCCTTCTACGGCCTGGCAGGTGGGCACCCTTGCTTTGACCTTCACCAGGCCCATTGGAATTATCCTTCCATCGAATTCTGTACTTCCTTCATCCCTCCTGGCTGACCTCCCTGACACTTTTACCCACCTCTCTCCCTAAAGGTTTGACAAGCTGGTGTTTGTGGGGGCAAATGAGGATCGGGCCTCCCAGCTTCGTGTCCTAAGTGCCATCACACGCAAGTACATACTATTTGAGAAAGACTCCCAAAGGGTTTGGGCAGTTAGGGGATGCATGTAATGCGCAAGATAAGCTGGTCAGCCGTGGCTTTCAAGGAAGGAAGTGGCACCATTTAATGTTTCTGGTGTACCCACACAGGTTCAAGCTAGAGCCCTCCGTGAGCCTGGTGAATGTGCTGGATTGCTGCCCTCCCCAACTGACGGGGGCAGACCTCTATTCTCTTTGCTCTGATGCCATGACAACTGCACTCAAACGCAAGGTTCACAACCTGGAGGAAGGTGAGCCACATAACAACCTGGGAGGTCAACCAGAATGCTAGCAGAGACAAGTCATTCTGGGATTTTAGAGAAGGGACATCTGGGGGACTCTGAGCAGGAAGGTACCTCCCACAGGGCTCTCTGCTGAGGTATAGAACACAGCCTCTGTTCTGCAGTGGGAAACTGCCTTACTTCCCTTTGTCACCTCTTAGGGCTGGAATTGGCGAGCTCAGCACTGTTGCTTACCATGGAGGACCTGCTACAGGCCGCCACCCGCTTGCAACCCTCAGTCAGTGAGCAGGAGCTGCTCCGCTACAAGCACATCCAGCACAAGTTTGCTGCCTGCTAGGAGCTGCCTGCAGCCTGGGACTGCCCATACTGGCAAAAGGTACCTAGATGGCCTCTCAGAGAGACCTGAGACGAAAGGGTTCCTCTTCAGGCTATGCTGACCCCCCTGAAGGCTGCCTCCCTCCAGGAGACACCCTGGGTGCAGTGTGGCCTTACTCCAATGTCTCCTCTTTGCCCCTCCTTCCAGGCCAGCTTTAAGATGGGCCCACCTGCTGAGGAGGGCCAGGGACTATCTATCCAGGGATTGGCCCTGAAGTCATTTATGGCAGAAAATAAAGTACATGCTGACCTCTGCTGGTGTTGTGAAAAGTTGGAGTGGGGAAGAGCAAGGTTGTGGGAGGAGTGAGCCTAGGGAAGTGGGCGCGGGCACTCTGGGGGCCTGTTCCTTCAGACATAAACACAAGACTTAGGGAATTAAAAGGCACAAATTGTATTGTTTATTCTTTTTTTTTTTTTGCCTGAACCCACATCCATGAACCTCAACTGCAGTGTCTCTGTACTAGGGTTGGGCTTGGTATGGGGCCATGGATCCCTACCTTCCCAGAGCCTGGAGTACCTAGGCAGGGGATCATGGGAGGCAAGACCATCTTCATTCTGTCTTCTTGAGCACGTGGATGAAGTAGCAGGGAATGTAGGTCTGGCCCGGCTTGTAAGGCTTGAAGTCACCCAGGATGCTGTGTTGGCACTTGCCCCCAAAGGCTGCTTGGAGCAACTCCGTGAAGGACGCCAGACAGTGTGGGTAGTAGGAGAGCCGGAATTTACTGCAACAGGCGCCCCCCATCAACCATGAGGACCAGTGGCCTCAAGCTTTCCCCACTACTACCTCACCCCTGCCAGGCCAAGCAGTACCTGAAGCTAGGAGAACCATCCTGGCCAGCGTCCGTCACCTGCACTGTGTAGTCCAGGGTCACCATGTGGGCTTTGTTATTCACTGTTAGCACTGATGTCGTGATGTCCTTGGTCGAGTCACTCTATAGGCAGTGGCGTAAGCTACATTAACCCACTATGGAGCCAGAGGACCCCAGGCTCACACCTTCCATTTGGGGCCTGCCCTTCCCTGGTGGACCACACCTTGTAGTAGATGTTCTTCCCTGGGGGTGCACAACCTGTGCTCAGGATGTGGTCATAGTTGCGATGATCAATGACTAGCAGGCCCCCTGACCGCACCATGCTTGCAATGTTCTTCAGTGCCTGCCGATGCTCACTCTGGTCACCTGGACTCCAGCAAGGGCAGAGAGGCTCCATCTGGACAGGGCCCCTGGCACCATTCTCCCTCCTATTTCTCCCCTCCCAGATGCCAGTGCCAAGGCAGAGGGGCCAAAAGGCAAAGTCATCTTTGTCAGGGGAGCAGGCACCCAGGAGTCTGTGGAAAGGGGTAGAGCTCAAGGCAAGTGACGTGCCCAAGATCACACCTCTCACCTTTGCAGTCTGGCAAATGGGCAAAACTGTTTCCAAGACAGATGACTGCATCGAAGCCACCTCCTGCTGGTCGGGGCACATCTTTATCCAGAGTCATCCAGTTGGCTTCTTCAATGACTGGGGGCCAAGAAGGGGAAGGAATTAGAGTGGCATCATGGTACCTGCACTGTCCACCTCCGCCAAGTGCAATTCTCCATCACTTTCTTCTTCAAAACACAGAGTCCCCGTCCAGTTAGAGGAACTTGGAGATTAAGAAGAGAGGGGAGAGCCATTTTGGGGAACAGGGGCTCTCTGTTTATGTATTTTTATTTGGGAAGAGGGACAAGATGCTATAAGTAGTTAAAACTAGCCTTTCAGAGCTAGGTGTGGTGATGCACACCTGTAGAATCATCTACTCAGCAGGCTGGAGGCAAGGAAGACCAGACTGGGCAACAGACTCCATCTCAAAAAGGGTAGGGAGTACTGCAAGTACAGCTCTTTGTAGAACTCATGCATAACATGCCCAAGGCCCTGGGTTCAACCCCAGCACCAGAAACAAACTAGCTCTTGACCCCAGTAGTTCATTCTGATACTTAAGCCTGTCTTTAGGAAAATGACAGTAACATTGTTATCTCCTGAGGAAAACAAAATACCCCAAACCACCCCATGTAAAGGAGCTCAGGGAAGAGAGACCAGTGTTCCTGGGAGTGTCGTCAGGAAGGCCTGGCTAGGTTTACATACCCCACTTGTCAAATGCAGGCTCCTGCCGTCGGTTCCAGCGCTCCTTAAGTGCATACTTCAGCATCTTGTCACTGGCGTCCACACTCGTCACACTGAAACCCTCTTCCACCAGCATGATGGAGTCCACCCTGAGCAGGGCCAGGGATGGGAGGCCAAGAAAAACAGGAGAGTCTAGGATGCCAAGGCAGCCCTGCGCAAGGCACTTCCCTCAACTCTTCAGAGTCTATTTCTCTGCCTCTTCTCCCAGACCCTCCCCATTGACCTAAAATGACCCCAGAAATCTGTACTGTGGATTGTAATTAGGGGTTCTATACTACTGAGCTATATCCCCAGACCTTTTTATTTTTTGAGTCAGTGTATTGCTAAGTTGCCCGGGCTGGCCTTGAATTTTTGATCCTCCTGCCTCAGCCTTTCAAATACCTGGGATTACAAGCATGTCCTACCAAATCTGGAATAAATCTGTTTTGTTGTTGTTGTTGTTGTTTGTTTGTTTGTTTGTTTATCACTGGGTAGTAATTTTCATTTTAAAGCACCTTGTCAGAGCTAGGCACTACAAATGTGCATTAATCCTTTCGGCAATCCTGTGAGGTAGATGGTAGGAAACTGGCTCACCACAGGCAGTATATGTAGCATGCTGGTCTGGAACATAGACCAGACCCTAAATCACCTGGGTTTGTATCTTCCCTCTACTACTTGGGGAACTTTTCCTTCTATAGGGCCTAGTTTCTCCAGTAATAACTGGAGAATTATCATACTTACCTCATGAGGTTTTGTGAGGGTTTGAAAAGCTCCTGGCACTGCGCTTGGCACGTGCAAATATTGAACAAATGTTAACTGTTAACGCTGCCCAAGGCCATCACAGGAGAAACACGCTGGAGCCAAGGATCTGGCCTGGCCCCAAAGCTCAGTTCTTGCTCTGCGCCATGCACCCTCACTACTCCGCCCACCCTCTCTTGCTCTGAGTCTCCCACACACCTTCTTCCCTCTTGGCATACTGGTGCACTTGAGGTGCCCATTCTGCCGGAGGAAGCATATAGCCGCAGCCCTGGCGTCCATCCTGCGCCTGCCCAAGTCCGGCAGGTGAGGACCGCCCCAACGTGCCCAGTCGGTCCGGCAGCCCACCTGTCCGGGCACAGCCAGTCCCTCGTCCCCACTCCCCAGCCCCAGTTGGGGCTCACCCCGTGCCGCAAGCTACGTCGAGCACCCGCTGGCAGCCATGCTGGCGTAGCAGCCCGAGCAGCCACGCCTTGTACTCGGCGGTGCGGCTGCGGGTGTCCCCGATGTAGAGCTGCCACACGCGCGCCGCCTCCCCGTCCGCATACTGGTCCGGTATCCCTTCGGCCGCCACTCCTAGAGAGCGGGTTCGGTACACGCTGTCCACCATCCTTCGCCAAGCCTGGCTCGGCAACCTCCAGCTCCGCATTTATAGTTAGGCTGTGTTCGGCGGCCCCACCTGGCCAATGGCAGGTGAGCATGGGGACACGCCCCTGGTGGGCTCTACGCCCGGTCTGTCCTTGCCCGCAGGAGGGCTCAGCATCGCAATCCTGGATCCCGCTCTTCGAGCCCTCTGCAATCCCCACCATGAGACCACTCTTTGACCCTTTGCCCACCTAATCCGGGGGTCGTGGGGCGTGGCGGGGGGCTGTGCCAGGAGAGGGCGGAGCAGTGAGATTGCTCACTCCACCCCTACCTAAATCGGAAAGAGTCCCATAAGGCAGGATTGGCCAGCGCCCTGGGAGGGAAGAAATTAGCATATCTAAGGAAGGAATGTCCATCTGGAAGGGACTAGCAAGCCAGGGCAGGGAAGACGTTTGAAGTCTAGGATAATGCGGACTGTCCATGAAAGTACAAAGGCAGAGCAGGGCCCTACCCTAAAATCATCCTCACTCACCTGGAAGCAAGTGTGCCTTTAACATAGATGACAGCATCAGCTTTTTTCCCCCAGAGCCTCCTACAGTGGAGGAGTCTGGTCCTTCCAATTTGTGGCCTACAGAGCACTCTTCTAAAGGACCACTTGCTGGGGCTAGGGCTGTAACTCAGTGGTAGAGCGCTTGCCTAGAACGGGTGAGGCACTGAGTTCCATCCTCAGCACCATATGAAAAATAAATAAAGTCATAAAGTATATATATATTAAAAAAAAAAAAAAAAGACCACTTGCTAGCCAGGCACAGTGTCAAATGCCTGTAAACTCAGCTACTTTGGAGGTTACAAGCAAGAGGATCAAGGCCAGCCTGGGCAAGTTAGCCCTACCCTTTCTCAAAAGTCTGGAATCTGGGGGCTGGGGTGGTGGCTCAGTGGTAAAGAGCTTGCCTGTGTGAGGCACTGGGTTCAATTCTCAGCACCGCATTAAAAATAAATAAATAAATAAAGGTTCATTGGGGAAAAAAAAAAAATATATATATATATATATAAAGTTGGGAGTCTGGGGGTGCAGCTCAATGGTAGAGCCTTGCCTAGCATGCTGGGAAGCCCTATGTTCAATCCCCACTCCCACCCACCCACCCCCCAAAAAAAAATTGTGTGTGTGATGGCACCTGCCTTTAGTTCCAGCTATTCAGCAGGCCGAGACAGGAGGATCCCTTGAGCTCAGGAGTTCAAAGCCAGCTGAGCAATAATGTGAAACCCTGTGTCACACAAAAAAATTGCACACTAAGGACCATCTGTTTTCCACAGGGGCCTATAGAGAGAAGTTTGGGGTCAGGAGTGGTAGGGGCTTGGTGCCTTTATTATTTATTATACTACTTATTGTCACTTTATAAATTGGTCCTTTGGTTTGGTTTGGTTAATCTACATACCCCATTTCCTCCGGAGAGCAGAAGGTTTCCCAGATTTCTCGCCCAAGGACAAGACCTCAGACTTAGGTAGATTCCAGGAGCCACAACTGAGCAAATCCTTGTAAGAAATGGAGAAAAATCAAATCCATCTGCATTGGTTGTTCCAGCCTCAGAAAAAGTGAGTTAGGGATGAGAGAACAAAGAAGCCTCCTTCCCTTATCTTTACTTGTCAGAATTGCAGAATTGGAGGAACCCCAAAGACTGTGTAAGCATTCCTAACTTTCTAATTCTGGCACAGAGACAGTCCCAAATGGACCTGCCCAGGCCCAAACAAAGAAGCCTTGGGCTCATGTTCACCTTACAGAGAACTCTCTGAGAACAGGCTTAGAAAGATATTGTATTGGGTAATTTCAAGTAAGCCCATAGTCATTCTTTTATCAGAATATTCTGGGGAAAATGCACTCTACCACCTCTTAACTTTATTTTCAAATCTCATCCTGAAAAAATTCTCCTCATTGGGCACCATGTTGTGTACTTGTAGTCCCAGCTACTTCTCAGACTAAAGCTGGAAGATCATTTGGACCCAGGAATTCAAGAACAGCCTGGATGACATATTGAGATGCTCAACTAAAAATAAATAAATAAAAAGATGTAATCTCAGTGGCTCAGGAGGTTGAAGCAGGAGGATCACAAGTTCAAGGACAGCCTCAGCAATTTAGCAAGACCCTAAATAAATTAGTGAGACACAGAATCAAATAAGGGCTGTGGAGGTGGCTTAGTGGTTAAGCACCCCTGGGTTCAATCTCTGGTACCAAAAATTTAAAAAAAGGAAAAAGAAAGAAAAGACAAAGGAAAGAAACATAGAATTATCCTCAGTTGTGGGCAGCATCACAGCATAATATACACCTTATTCTATGGGGTTGGCTGTGTGTGGGGCTGAGTGCAGTGCTGGGAATCAAATCCAGGGCCTTCTACATGCTGGCAAGACCTCTATCACTGATCTATACGTACAGGTCAGAAAGAGAGAGAGAGAGAGAGAATTTTTAATATTTTTTTTTCCGGCGGATACAACATTTTTGTATGTGTGGTGCTGAGGATCAAACCTGGGCCGCACGCATGCCAGGCGAGCGCGCTACCGCTTGAGCCACATCCCTAGCCCGATAATTTATTTATTTTTTTTTAATTTTTTATTGTTGGTTGTTCAAAACATTACAAATTTCTTGACATATCATATTCCACACTTTGATTCAAGTGGGTTATGAACTCCCACCTTCACCCCATACACAGATTGCAGAATCACATCAGTTACACATCCATTGATTTACATATTGCCATACTAGTGTCTGTTGTGCTCCGCTGCCTTTCCCATCCTCCACCATCCCCCCTCCCCACCTCTCCCCTCCCCTCCCCTCCTCTCTCTCTACCCCCTCCACTGTATAACCCTGAGGGTCTCCTTCCATTTCCATGCAATTTCCCTTCTCTCTCCCTTTCCCTCCCACCTCTCATCCCTGTTAAATGTTAATCTTCTTCTCCTGCTCTTCGTCCCTACTCTGATCTTAGTTACTCTCCTTATATCAAAGAAGACATTTGGCATTTGTTTTTTAGGGATTGGCTAGCTTCATTTAGCATAATCTGCTCTAATGCCATCCATTTTCCTGCAAATTCTATGATTTTGTCATTTTTTAATGCAGAGTAATACTCCATTGTGTATAAATGCCACATTTTTTATAGCGATACCAGACTTCAAACTATACTACAGAGCAATAGTAACAAAAACAGCATGGTACTGGTACCAAAACAGGCAGGTGGACCAATGGTACAGAATAGAGGACACAGAAACCAATCCACAAAACTACAACTATCTTATATTTGATAAAGGGGCTAAAAGCATGCAATGGAGGAAGGATAGCATCTTCAACAAATGGTGCTGGGAAAACTGGAAATCCATATGCAACAAAATGAAACTGAATCCCTTTCTCTCGCCATGCACAAAAGTGAATTCAAAATGGATCAAGGAGCTTGATATCAAATCAGAGACACGCCGTCTGATAGAAGAAAAAGTTGGCTACGATCTACATTCGGTGGGGTCGGGCTCCAAATTCCTCAATAGGACACCCATAGCACAAAAGTTAATAACTAGAATCAACAAATGGGACTTACTCAAACTAAAAAGTTTTTTCTCACCGATAATTTCTTTATATAAATTTGATATGTATTTTACCCAGAGCCAAAAGGAAAATAATTATTTGGCTCTAAAATGACAAGCTAAATTTGATTATAAATTGACAAGCTAAAGCTGTTAAACAAAAATTTGATTATAAGGGTTGGGGCTGGGGCTCAGTAGAAGAGCACTCGCCTAACATGTGCAAGGCACTGGGTTCGATACTCAGCACCACATATAAATAAATAAATAAAATAAAGATCCATGAATGACTAATAAAAATATATATATATATATATATTTTTTTAGAGAGAGAGAGAGAGAGAGAATTTTTTAATATTTATTTTTTAGTTCTCGGCGGACACAACATCTTTGTATGTGGTGCTGAGGATCGAACCCGGGCCGCACGCATGCCAGGCGAGCGCGCTACCGCTTGAGCCACATCCCCAGCCCTAATAAAAATATTTTTAAAAATTTGATTATAAGAAGTGAAATTTTGCTGGGGATATAGCTCAGTTGGTAGAGTGCATACATCTCATGCACAAGGCCCTGGGTTCAATCCCCAGCACCAAATAATAATAATAATAATATATAAGAAGTAAAATTTCAAGGAAAAATAGACCTATTGCTATTAATTTTATTATACTAGAGTTTTTAAAATGAAAAATTTAAATTATTTATCTCTTGTAAGACTAGGGATTGAACATGGGGGTGCTCTACCACTGAGGTACACCTCCAACCCATTTTATATTTTGAGACAGAGTCTCCCTAAATTGCCCAAGCTAGTCTCAAATTTGCCATTCTCCTGCCTCAGCCTCCCAAGTTGCTGGGATTACAGACTAGTATGTACCACTGTGCCCTCGGCTTATGGAGCTCTTTGATTAAAACTAGCCCAAAAATATACACACACACACACACACACACACACACAATTTAGAGGAGAAAGGCTGGGTGCTTTGGCGCTCACCTGTAACCCAGCAACTTGGGAGACTGAAGCAGGAGGACTGCAAGTTCGAGATAAGCCTTAGCAATTCAACAAGTTCCTTGATGAACTTAGTGAGACCCAGTCTCAAATAAAAAGGGCTGGGGATATGGCTCAGTAGTAAAGCACCCCTGGATTAAATCCCCAGTAACCTACCCCAACCCCCAAAAAATAGAGGTGAAAGGCCACACTGATACTGATAAAGAAGAAATTTATTTATTTTTTCTTGGTACTTACTGGGGATTGAATTTAGGGATACCTTAACAATGAGCTACACCCCCAGCCTTTTTCATTTTATTTGAGATAGGCTAAATATTCCTTGTTTAAATACCGATGGTTAAGCTTTTTAGAAATGCAGACTGGGGTGTAGCTCAATGGTAGAGTATTTGCTAGGTTGCATGAAGCCCTGGGTTCAATTCCCAGTTCCTAGAAATCACTAAATAACCCATTTCCTCATAGAGATTACATCCTCCTTCAATTACTGTAAAAATAAGAGTTAATCGTAAAATAATAGCACCTAAGGTTGTTTGCCACATAGTAAGCACTCAAAAAATTATGCTTACTAATGTTAGTTACTATTCCAGTGAAACTCCTTAATAGAGGAAGCCAAACTCTCAGTGGATGTTGATGAAGTTTCCTTATGGTTTTTGCCCCTAGAATTAGTATACAGCTAACTAGTATACAGCTAATTTTATGGAATGATACTGGGTACCAATATAGAATTGGTACACAGTACCTTTCCATAAACCAGGGGGGCATGGGCACACATCCATCAAGAAAAATGGGTTTTCTTTCAATATCCCAAAATACAATGGGCCAGACATGTTGGATGTAGTGGTGCATGCTGATAATCCCAACCACTCTGGAGGTTGAGGCAGAAAAATTACAATTTCAAATCCAGCCTGGGCAATTTAGCTAGACCTGTCTCAACAAATAAAAAGGGCCAGGGAAGGGAGGGTTGGAGTGGGGGTTTGAAGCTCAGTGGTAGAGCACTTACCTAGCATGTGCAAAGACCTGAATTTAATCCCCATTACTGGAGCAAGGTGGGTGAGTGTGTGGAGATGCCCTGATGAAGCCAAGAGGACCCCTGAGACCTCATTGTCTGGTTCTATGGCTCCTTTATTAGTATCTTTTGTAGTGTTGGGGAATCTAACCTACTGAGGCAAGTGCTGTACCCCTGAGCAATGCCTCTCACACCACCTGTGGTTTTTCTAATCATTGAATTGGAATTGGCCTTGTGTTTTGTCCATCAGTCCTTGTGGTTCTGGTTAATGGGGCCACTCTGTCAAATCAATACACTCTGGTGTCTGACAAGTCATGTTTCTGAAGACAAAACCATGACCCACCGGAGTCCTGCCCCCTTAGGGCAGGTGAAGTAGGTCCTAGCCAGTCTCATCTTAAGAACTATAAGGGATATCTGTTCAGCTTGAAGACTGCTAGGTCCCAACCTAGCACTGCAATGGGCCCACCTAAATAAGCATTCCAAGTGATGCTCGTGTCCATGTGTATTTAGGAAATCCTGTTCTAATAAGATTTTGGTTTTTGGTACTGGAGATTGAATCTAGGAGTGCTTTATCATTACCTACAACCCCAGTCCACTTTTAAATTTTGAGACTGGGTCTCACTAAGTTGCTTGAGGTTGGCCTCAAGTTTGCAATCCTCCAAGCTGCTGGGATTGCAGGTGTGAAATAAGCACTAAAATGAGGTTAATTTGAGCTCAAGTTAACTGATGGGATTGGAAGGGGTGTGAGAAACTGGAAGGTAATATCCAATTTTAGACTTCTTGTGGTAGGGAAAAGAAAAGAAATACCTGGTAAACCAGGTATTTCTGCCTTCTGCCTCTTCTAGGCTGGTTCAGGACTGTTTGTTGACATGGGCTTGGGGGGAGAGCTGGGTGGGGGGGGAGAGTGTACAACAACCTGGCCCATGGGAGGCAGTCCTGCAGTAGCCACAGGTCAAAGAACAGAGAAGTCCCAGTGCTACCTGCCCTCAGGCCTTGGCTTGGATTGGGTCCCTGGGCCAACACCCCAGGAAGTGGATAGGGCTTTGCTTCATCCTTCTTTAAGAATCAATGACATTCTGGGGACAGACATAACTAGGCACTAAAGTACTATGGGGTAGTGGCAGAATGGAACCAGAGACTGGTCACCAACACAAATTACACCAAACTACAAATGGACTCCTGGCTCAGCATGCAAGCCCCCTACCCAACTCCCAACCATCTCCTATGCTCAGAACAAAGTTCAGGGCAGGACCTGATTTTAGACTGGATTCTCACAGTCCACAAGCCCCTTTAACAGTGGGAACATCAGTCCTGAAGATAGAGGTGGGGGCTAGACCACAAAAGTACCATCCTCCAAGGACCTGTTCCAAGGCTCAACAGGGAGAAGAAAAGCTTCTTTGCTTCACTCTACAGAGCCTTGGGACCCTAACTTGGAAGAGGGGGCCCACATTCTCAGGAGCCTTCAGCAGTATATCCCCTCCTACCACTCGGTCTAGTCCAGGAGTGTGGCGTGTTGATGGGGGTGCTCACGTGCTAAGGGTACTCTGACAGCCATTCCCCATTCTTTTCTTCTAAACATCAATAACTGTTCCCTGTTTTAGTGGTGCTGGGCAGTTGAATCCAGGCCCTTGTGCACACTTAGCATATGCTCTACCACTGAGCTACATCCCCAGCCCTTATTTTTTGAGACAGGATCTCACTAAGTTGCCCAGGCAGATCTCAAACTTGCTATCCTCCTGCCTCAGCCTCCCCAGTCTCTAGGGTCATAGATGTGCACCACAGTGCTCTGCTCTTATTTTCCTTTTACAAGAGTCTTGGTGGTGGTGGTGGGTCAAGGTCAAAAAAACAAACCAGTTATATGAATTATACTACTAGGACCAGGTATTGAGGGAAGGGGTCCAGACAGCTGTGGATAGTGGAAAGACAAAGGACTTAAAATCTGAAAACCATAGTCTGAGTCCCAGCAATATTAACAGTAAGACCTTTGGCACATCACTTGACCTAAGCCCACTTTCTCTTCTTTGTACAAAATGGGGCTACCATAAACCACCACCCAAGTGTGTTGTAAGTATTAAAACTAAAGCAGTATACAATTACCATCACTATTGCTACCAACTATCTGAATCCCTGCCCAGCAGACAACTGGGGTGCACCTATACCTCCTCTCCTCTTCTCTAGAGGCCAACCTTCCTGTTCCTCCTCAGTCCTGGAGAACGTGGTGTTAACAAGGGATTGTTGGAAGACCAGAGTGTCAGTTATGGAAATCTTTTTTTTTTCTTTTTTCTATTTTGTGGTGCTGGGGATTGAACCCAGGGCCTTATGCATGTGAGGCAAGCACTCTACCTACTGAGCTCTATCCCCAGCCCCTAGATGCAACAATTAGGAAGAGCAAAGGGACAGGTTGAGTGCAGTGGCTCAGGAGGCTAAGACAGGAAGATTACAAGTTCAAAGCCAGCCTTAACAACTTAGCAAGACCCTAAGCAACTTAGCGAGACCCTCTTTTAGATAAAAAATATAAAGGGCTGGGGATATGGCTCAGTGGTTAGGTACTGCTGGGTTCAATCCCTGGAACCAAAAAAAAAAAAAACAGAGACAAGTGACCAACTGTGGTCATCAGGGAACAAGGTTCAAGAATAGGCAGGGCCAGATGGAGGTGGGAGGGAGGCGGGAGCTGGTAAGGTAACAGCAAATACTTTGCACAACAAATAGAAAGGCTAGGGACAGGGAGACAGGAGAGAGGGAGAGAATGAGGGCAGCCAGGTGCCCAGGACACACATGCACAGCTTGAGGTAGGAGGGGTTGGTGGCTGGGAGGTCAGGGAGAACAAGGGCAGCTGCCTCTGCTCCGTGAGTCAGCTGAAGGACAGCATGCTGACCCTCACCCTGTGCCCAGGCCTACTCCTCAACTCAAAATAGCCTTAGGTGCTCTCTGCCCTTGCTGCTCCCAACAGTTGACAGTTCAGCTTTAATCATCAGGGTTGGGGCAGCCATGCTCCCCTCGGCCCCCAAGGCTGGAAGAAGGTGAGGGGCAAGACAGAGCAACAAGGGTCTCCAGGACACCTCTGAGGGCTGAAGAGGACTCAGGAGTCAGAAGCAAAAGGCCAAAAGGTTTTTACTCTGTGAACCTCTTCTGTGGGAAGGAGAGCTCAGGGTGTCCATGGGAGGGGGTGCAGGGAGGGGAGCTCTGGGGGTTGCAGTTTTACTTCCTGTGGGGGAAGAAATGAGAGTAGAGGTGGCTGCACCCTCCTCACAGGGACTGGAGGGACTCTAGTCCTGGTGCCCAGTTCTGACACCTGCCCTCCTAAGTACACACTGGAGTCCTCGAAGTCTTGAAACCTGCCTGAAGCCCATGTCAGAAGAGGAATTCATGGCAGAGGGAAAAAGCTGGCATGGGCTAACCAAGGCTGCTTGGAGTTCTTCTCAGGGCTTGTTGTCTTTCCTTGGCAGGAAAAGGGCACAGCTGAGGCAGGAAGAGCTGAAGCCAGGAGGAGAGTCATCTTGCCTGCTGGAGCCGTGCCCCAGACTCTTCAGCTTTGAGGTTTGGGACTTCAGATCTGGTATGCTGGGTGAAGCTCAAAGCTCATCAGGGGCGCTGTGCGGGAGAGGGGATGCCTTCTGGATGCCCTCCTCTTCCTCGGGGCTGGGGTCTCCCTCAAGGCCTCCCAACTCCTTCCTCTGCTTGCTGCTGCCGCTCCTGCTGCCTGAGGCCTTGGCCCTGCTGCTCTTCTTCTTGGACTTTTTCCCTCCTAGGGCAGCTGTGTCCCCCTTCTTGCCAGACCACCGCTCTTTCAGGCAACCTAGGCAGGGAGAGAGAGAGACCGCAACAGAGCTACCTCAGGACCAGATTTCTGGGGAGCAACACTGACTGGGGAACCACTGTAGCAACCACATCAGTGCCGACACAGCATCCCTGCCACCCGCCTCTATGTACCCCTCTGGGAGTGCCTCAGTTATCTGTGTTATCCTGCATTGGTTTTGGTCATATCTCATCAAGATCCCGAGGACAGAGATCACCCATGCTCTCTTCTGTCTCTCCTGCCCTCCTCCCAAGGGGGAACACAGGATACAATTCATCCCTACACTTCCCCTCCGACTCACTCGTATCTTTTCCCTTCAGCACATGGTTGGCGCAGAGGAATTCAGTCAGGTCCTCTTCCTGGTGGTTCCTGTACCAGTCCTCGATCACCTCCTCAAACTCTTCCACCAGCACATCGCACTGTGAATTCACAACACTGAACATTGGCCAAGCCCCACACTTGACCCACTCCTGGGGTAATGGTCTAAGCCAACCATCTACCAGGAGATAAGTGGGTGGCGGTGATCTGCCTGAGGAATCTGAAGCACAGGCTATCAGTGGCCTTCCTCAGTGTAGACCCAATCCCACCTGCCCATCTGGCACAGCAGATTGAAAAGCCCATACCTGTTTCTTGAGGTCAGCCACCTCAGCAGAAGTCTCATTCCACAGCTCATAGGGGATGTCCATCACCACTTTGACCCCTTTGTGTACCAGGTTGTGCAGTGTCTCAAAAGTCTCTGACATGCCCTGGAAGAGGCCACCAGACATGGGAAGTAGAGGCATCTTTGCTACCTCCCATCCTCCCCCCCCTGGTGTCTGAGGGCCTGTCTTGAGAGATCAAAAGCCTCTAATACATCTAGCCCTCAATGGCGCCTTCCTCTCCACTCTCTCAGGCTGCTTTCCATCACTCCTGCACACCCACACCCTGACCTACTTCCCTATACCTCATTCTTTCAAAGAGATCTGCTGTTGTCCTCAGGTTCTCTGAACTTAGACTCCTTTTCAGGAAATAAGTTTGTCTTGGCTCCCTCCCTTCACTGTGGCTGGGCACACTTACTCCCTATACCCAGACTCACTCTCTGCCCAGGTTCTTCCTCGCCTATGTCTTTATTTTGTAAGAAAATAGCAGGGCAGGAAAGACACTTTACTCTATAAAAGCTATCTCTGCCAGCTACCCTGGTCTTATCCCCAGGACAACATATTACCCAGTTCCTCCATCATCCTAGATTTAATTCACACATATACAACATACAGGGGTTGGGGAGGTAGCTCAGGAGTAGACTGATTGCTTAGCATACGTGAGGAGGCCCCAAGTTTAATCCTGATCTCCACCAAAAACAAAACAAACAAAAAAAGCATTCAAATATATCCTCTCCCCATTCTTGCTTCTCAAACAAGAAGTAGTGTATCATACACAATTTTGCAGCTTGCTTTTTTTTCACTTAATAATATACCTTGGAGATCAGTTTAATTCAACTCATAAATAGCTGCCTCATTCTTTGGTTTATAGCTGCCTCACAGCCCACTGTATGGCCATCTTAATCTATCTACTGGTAGATAGATTGTTTCTAATTGTGTGCTACAGAAAATAATTTTTAAACATTTTTTAAATTAAATCAATCATGAATTTATTAGCTAAACTCACACAAGTTTTATTGTTATTTCATGTTTTTGCAGTGCTGGGGTCAAACTCAGGGCCTTGTGCATGTTGGCAAACATTCATCCACTGAGCCACATCCCCAGCCCTCTGATTTTTAAATACAAAACCTAAAACTACTGCTGCTTGAGACCATATCCTTAGGTATCCCAGGGGTTTATCTCTTTTACTAACAGGCAATTTAAGGGGCAAATGTGGGCAATAACTATCTTACCACATGCTAAGAACTGAAGATGTAGAGAAAAAGCAATAACAGCCTTGCTATAAACAATGTCTTTCCAGAGACAGAAGCATCATGCACAGCAAGTGAATCAAATGTAACACAGGCACACTGGAAGGAGTCTAGAGAAGTGCTACCATGAGGGTATGGATGAGGAACTAAGCAATCACAATCCCCAAGTGTCTTCCAACATCTTCCCTTCTAACCACATGTGCACATCCTATACCTTGCTTCGTCCTCTTTGCTCAAGTGTTTTAGACCCCCATGGGAGTTGTCAGCTGGTGCATTTCTGCCTATGTCCATGAATGAGACAGGACCCTAATGGACAGCTCCAGGCCATCATGAATTTGTCTAATGCCACAGAAAAGTCAGGCCACTCAGGAGGAGAGGAGTGCAAATGGCAATCCAAGAGGAATAGGTAACAAGGGAGGCATCTCCTAAGACATGATCTGCAAATCACCCTCACACTAGCAGACATACTTAGATACAACACAGGCCTGGCCTCAGAGGGGATGAAGGCAAGCACAAAGCCAACCTTGGCAAACCGGTTGCTGCCGGTCCTCTCCTTGTGCAGGCTGTAGTCCAGGAGCCTCTTGCAAATGGTCTCAGTGACTTCAATTAACCGTAAGTCCCTGCCGAGACAGCAGTACCAGAGGAACTAAGTTCTCCTCCCAGTCCCAGTGGTTAGTAGTCCATCCCTCCAGCCCAGTTTGCCCAACACCTGAGCATCTCACCAAAGGGAAGTCAGAGCTGGAAAGAAGATAGTTCATCTGGTATAGGGGTTCTGAAATGCTGGAACACAGACCAGAGAGACAACATTTTAACAGCTCTAAGGGAAGGACCTTCTTTCTTTCCTTTTCTTTATTTTTTGCAGTACTGGGAATCTAACCCAGGGCCTCACGTATGCTAGGAAAGTGTTCTACCATTTCAATTTTTGTTTTCTTAAATAAAGCCAAATGTATCAAATTTTGATGGTAAAATACCATTTCATTTTGAAAGAATGATCATAGTCAACAGAAGTTGTTTTTCTTGTTTAATATTTATATTTGGCAAGATAAAAATAAAAAGTTGATAATTGCATGTCACCACTTTATTTATTTATTTATGTATTTTTGAGGGTGATGCTGGGGATTGAACCCAAGGCTTTGCACATGCTAGGCAAGTGCTCTACCCTTAAGCTGCATCCCAAGCCCTATTTTTTTTTTTTTTTAAGGCAAATCCCAAGTCTCTGGGGTTACAGGCATGCACCACCATGCCAGCTTCAATTTTTTTGTAAATTACATTGGTCCATGAAATCTTGGTCTCTGAATCACTAATATAGTACTATCAGTCTTGCTTTTATAGATGAGGAATCTGAGTCCCAGAGAAGTAAAGAAATTTATAAAAAGGTCAGCTAATTAGCTGGAAATAGAATCAGTGGGCACACTTGGGTCTCAGAGCTGACTCCCTTGTGGTGGGTTTACCTAGCTGAAAGGGAAAAGGGAATGCCAAGCCCCCAACCCTGCCCCCCACCAGGTACAAAGCAGGCTAAGCCACTGAGTCCTCATTCACTTACGACTTGGTATATTTGACTCCAGAGGCCTTCCGGTCCAGGATGCCATAGCCCGTGTCAATCACCTCCTTGGTCTTACTGGTTTCCTCAAAGGCTGACTTCAGCTCCACAGCAACATATTTACACACTGCGGGAGGGAGATGCACCACAGCCCACTGAGTTTACAGGAGCTTCCGACCAGAGACAGCTCTCAGCAAGTCTAGGTGGGTGTCCTTTCCTAGCCTGAGCTAAGTCAATACTCAAGGCAAGAAAGGAGCTAGTACCAGACACCAAATGGGGTTCACTATATGAAAATGGCCCCAAGAAGATCTACTGTCCAATGTTCACTCTTGGTCTGAATTCTCCTGACTACATTTCTATCATGCCCCTCACACTGCCCTCACCTCATCACTTTACTTTTAAAAATGTTATACATAGAGCTGGGGATGGGGCTCCCTGCTAGCGCACTTGCCTGGCATGTGTGAGGCACTAGGTTCAATTCTTAGCACCACACATAAATAAAAAAATAAAGGTCTATCAACAACTAAATAAATAAAAGTGTTATACATAAACTGGGTGAAGTGCTACATGCCCATAATCTCAACTACTCAGGAGGCTGAGGCAGAAGGATCTCAAGTTCAAGGACAGCCTGGGCCACTTAGCAAGACCCTGTCTCCAAGTAAAAAATAAAAAGAGGGCTGGGGTCGTGGCTCAGTGGTAGAGTGCTTGCCTAGCATATGTGAGGTCCTGAGTTTCAATTCTCAGCCCCATAAATAAATAAACAAATATAAAGGTTCTCAACAACCAAAAAAAAAAAATTAAATTAAAAATAAAATAAAACAAAAAGGACTCAGTGGTAGAGTGCCCCTGGGTTAAATCGCCAATACAGCAAAATAAATAAGTAGTAGCCAAGCACAGTAGCCTACAACTGTAATCCCAGTTATTCTTGGGGTTGAGGCAAGAGGACTGCAAGTTCAAGGACTGCTTCATTAATTTAGTGAGACCCTGTCTCAAAATAAAAAGGGCTACTGATATACCTCAGCAGTAAAGCACCCATTACCAAAAACAAGAACAAAACCCACATACGGAAAAGCTCAAAGAGTGCAATGAATAACAATATCCTTCTGCTCATATTCAACAGTTAATGATTTGCCATAATCTCTCTCCAATATCTAATATATATCTTAATAATATATACATTGTTTTTGCTAACCCAATTTGAAAGTATGAAATTTCATCCCTAAATATATCATCATATACCTCCCAAGAACAAGGACCTTTTATGTAACCATAAAACAATTACAATGTTGGAAAATTAACAATAATTCTGACATCATCTAATAGTCCATATTAAAATTTGCCTAATTGTCCCTAAAATGTCTTTTTGTTTTGTTTTGTGGTACTGGGTATTGAACCAGGGCCTTGTGCATGTGAGGCAAGCACTCTACCATTGAGCTGTATCCCCAGCCCCCTAAAATGTCTTTTTTAAAAATATATTTATTTATTTATTTTTATTTTTATTTATTTATTTTAATATTTATATTTTAGGTTTTTTTTAAGGTGGACACAATATCTTTATTTTATTTTTTATGTGGTATTGAGGATCGAACCCAGCGAGCATGCTACTGCTTGAGCCACATCCCCAGCCCTTAATATTTATTTTTTAAATGTAGTTAGACACAATACCTTTAGTTTATTTGTTTATACGTGGTACTGAGGATTGAACCCAGGGCCTCCCACGTGCTAGGCAAGCACTTTACTGCTGAGCCACAACTCCAGCCTCCTAAAATGTCTTTTATGGTTGTTTTATTACTAGATTTCATATGTGTTTCAACACCAGCTCTCTATTCCTGACAAATTAATTCGTTTCATCTCCTCCAGAGAGGCCTGATTCCTACTGTTTCCATACATTTATTTTCTCATTTCCTCTCACTCTTCCTCAAACAGTTATTAAGTAACTCCTGGGTGTCAGGTACTGTTTGAGATACATAGATGAAAATAAGGGCCCTTCCTTCTTCCATATACTCAGTGTAAAGAAGCAAAGTTATAAATAATTACCACTGTATAAGGAGTGCTATCTATAAGGTATAGGGTCCTAAAAAAAATGATTAATGCTCCTTTAGGGGCTTCTATGTCCTCTCCTATGTCACATTAAACCCTCCTCATCCAGGAAGCCTCCTGAACTAATAGTTTTTTTTTTTTTTTGGGGGGGGGGGCGGCGGTAGGATTAAACCCTGGACTAATAGGTTTTTTTTTCCTTTCGGGGGCGGGCAGGTGGTAGGATTAAACACTTGCTAGGCAAATGCTACACTGAGCTACATCCCAGCACCCCATCGGTTATGGTTCAGATATGTGGTGTCCCCCCAAAAGCTCATCTGTGAGACAATGCAAGACTGTTCAGCAGGGCAAAGTAGCTCTAAGCAACTCTAAATAAAATATTAAAAAAGGGCTGGGGATGTGGCTTAGTGTTAGAGTGCCCCTGGTTCAATCCCTGATACAAAAAAAAAAAAAAGAATGTTCAAAGGCAAAATGATTAGGTTAGGATAGGTATAACCCAATCAATAGCTTAATCCACTGATATGGACTAACTGGGTGGTAACTGTATGCAGGTAGGGTGTGTCTGGAGGAGGTTGGTCACTAGGTGTGTGCCTTTGGGGCTTTAAGGTCTCTATTTTGGCCCTGGTGAGCAGAGGTCTTTCTCTGCTTCCTGATTGCCACGTGCTGAGCTGCTTTCTTCCTCTACACCCTTTCACTAGGATGTCCTGCCTCACCTTGGGCCCGGGGTTGGCTGACTATGAACTGAGACCTCTGAATTATGAGCCACAAATAAACTTTTCCTCCTCTGCATTGTTCTTGTCATATCTTCTGGTCACAGTGACAAAAAAGCTGACTAAAACACCATCTGCTCTTGATTTCATTCTGGGCCTCTGCAAAACTCACTCTCCCTAAGAGACTCAGTCATCTCAAGAGTCTCTCCATCTAGATAGACTACACAGGTCCCTAAAGGGGCATCACATATTGGGATTTTTTTTTCCTCTATTGCTCTACTCTGAGTATCTGTGCATGTTGGATGCTTGATTAAATACTGCTGATAGAGCCAGTGTTTGTAGTCTAGCAGCTTCTGATGCCTCTGAATGGAATAGTTTGCAGACTAAATGCATGGTGCACTGTTATAACATTGATTGCAGAGTTTGGTCGAAAACCAGTTTACACAAAAATAAATACATCCCCTGCAGGCTTGCTTGATGAAATTTTATAACAAATACATTAACTGATGCCTTGGAGAACTTGGAACACACAAAAGTTCCAAATTATAAGCTGGTGATCTCAGAGTCTACAATGCATTGAGGTCATCTCTCCCTGAATTTCCATCCAGAACTATCTGGGCTCCTTCCCCTCTTCTGTCCTGAAAAAGTTCATCATTTTTCTGCTCCTCTGCCCCCTTCTCCTACGCCCTCAACATGTAATATTCCAGGAGGTGAAATAGGGAGATTTGGAACATCCTTTCTCTCTTATACCCACTGACCACAAACTTGCCTCCCAACTCTTCCAAACATTACCTCTTCAATACATCCTCTGGGATCCCTCAGAACCAGACCTGGAGGAAGCTCATGGCACAGACTGCAGACCCTCACAGACATCCACCCACTCTTTTTCTGGGCAGACTCTCTTTTCCTCTGTGCCAGGACCTGTTCCACTCAGGTTACTGAGCCTGAAGGCAAGCTTTGTGGGCCAGACACAATCAGCATTTAATAACAAAGGTGTAATAATAATAAATATAAATAAATGCAATATTAAGAGGAACTTAAGGTTTGGAGTTTGCCAAGCCATTCTGTGACTGAAAATCCCTTGTAAATTAATCTTCACCAATTACAAAATGAGATTAGGCTATTCAGAATGATTTCTAAGATCCTTGCCAGCTCTATGCTTCAAGTCTGTGAATGCCTGCTAAGGAAAAATATGTGAGCTTTTCAGACTATGAGAATTATAAAAGAAAACAGTAAGAGCTTCTTGGTATCAGAATAAGATTAAAACAAACAAAAAGGAAGTGAAACACCAAAGTGTATCAGTTAGAACTAGAGGAAGAGTGGAAGGAAAGCATCTTGACATAGGCTAGATCTACACTGGGTGCCCTACCCATGAGGTGAGGTCAGCCATCTCTGGAGCATCTCTCAATATCTTTATTTTACGTTTATGTGGTACTGAGGATCGAACCCAGTGTCTCATGCATGCTAGGCGAGCACTCTACCACTGAGCCACAACCCCAGTCTCCTGTTTTTCTTTTGTGTGTGTGTGTGTGTGTGTGTGTGTGTTGCTGAGTATTGAACCCAAGATCACTTTACCACTGAGATACTTATCCTGTGTGTGTGTGTGTGTGTGTGTGTGTTACTGAGGATTGAACCCAAGATCCCTTTACCACTGAGATACGTCTCCAGCCTTTTTTAATATCGAGAATGCTATGCTGCCCAGGCTAGCCTCAAACTCACAACCCTCCTACCTTGTCCTCTCACGTAGCTGGGATTACAGGCGTGCCATCAGTCTGCCTGGCTTTTAGCATTTCATTTTCAATCCCTCAAATGGAAGGATTATGTGTCCCAAATCACCCACCCCCACTTTCCAGTACTTAGGGAACATCTGCCCTGGTGCAAGCTTTGAATTAAAATAAAATGAATCTATAGCCAACTTTCTGGGGAGCCTGTGGCTAGAGTGTGGGAAGGAAGGAGTGAGTATTAAGTTCAAAAAATGGAGGAAAAGGGCTGGGGATTTAGCTCATTTGGTAGAGTGCTTGCCTTGCATGCACAAGCACCACAATCCCCAGCACCACACACAAACAAAAGGCAGGGGGAGACGAGCCCTTCATAATTTTGTATCCTTGCCCAGATCTCTCTTTCTCAAGGTCCTGCTTCCACCCCTATATCGTGGGGTCTTCACATTTATAAAATCTTTCTCCCTCACTAAACTCCCCCAAGCTCTGTGTTTGCCCTAAAGTGACCTCTTAGGCCTCAGATCCTCCTTCCTGAACACACACTCACAGGCCCTTCATTTAATCATGTGTACTTCAAAAACAATTTATTAGGACTTGATAGATACTGTGTGAATAAAGATGGAACAAGAGACAGGGACAAGAGACTACTACAGAGATTAGGTTGCAGTGTCTGTCCACACAAAGAGGAGAGTATCAGATTCTTCTTCACCCAAGATGAGTCATATGGAGCTTTTCAGTTCCTCAAAACTCGTCCTTTGCTTCCCAGTCTGCAGGCCTCTGCATCTGCTTCTGCATCTGTGGTTTCCTCTGAGAAGGCTACTCTCTCTCCACTTCTTGTCACCTGGCCTAATTACTCTGCAGGCTTCCTATAAGACTTAGGGAAGTCTTATGACCCCTCTAGATACATCCTTCCCTCCAGCCCAATATCTCCTGGCTAGAATAGCTGCTCCTCACCGGCCCCCAAAGCCCGGTACCTCCCTATCAAGGAACCTCTCGTCCACCCCTCCATCCCAGCGCCCAACACAGTGCCAAGCACACCGAAGGTTCAATGAACGCTAAGACCTCGCTCTAGAACCTGGGATCCTCCATCCATCCACTCTACTGGGAGAGCCCCGCCCCCAAGCCCGCCCCTCAGGCAGGATACACCCCGTGGGCCCCGCCCCCTCACCTTCGCATTTGCTGGGCAGTCGAACCCAGTCGGTCTCCTCGGCCCTGGCTTGGCTCGGGCCCAGCTCCGGGGCCGGCAGTTGCAGCAGCAGCAGCAGCAACAAGGGGAAAAGCAGAAGACAGCGGGGCGCGGGCTCGGGTAACAAATCCATGGCCCAGCCGGACCCGACCCGAGCGGACCGGGCGGCGCTTCCTGCAGCGGCGCGCGCTCCGCAGCTTCCCCGAGCCGCTTCCGGGACTGCACACGTGCCTCAGCGTAACCACAGCAACAGCGAGCCCCTGGCCGCCCCCTCCTCTGGCTGATTCACCCCGCCTTCAAAGCGGACGAAGGCCCGCGGACAACCCAGCCAATGGGCCTTCTCGGGATTTGCCTTTTAGCGAATGGGAAGACGATCTTTTTTAAGCCTCCGCCAATAAGAGAGAGGAGAGTGGCCTCAGCCACCTAGGGCGACATCTTTTCCCACCCCCTAACAGAAGCTCCGGGAGAGGCTGGAGGACTCTGACCCAGGCCCTGAGTGGGCTAGTTCGGACACATTGGTCCTGGGAGCTCGGGGAAGACTTTTTTCCTGGTTTCCTCCGCCACCTTAAACGTCACTTCCCTCTTGGATTCATAAAGCCCCAAACTCTTATTGACCACCTGCTTTTTTTTTTTTTTTAATTGTTTTTATTACTGCATTATAGTTATACATACTATTGGGGTTCTTCTGGACATAATCATACATATAATAATGGAATATAATTTGCCTCATTTCAATCCCCAGTACTTCTCCCCGCCCGCAGCACCTGCCTTTAAATTTCGGTATTGTTGTAGGCCACCCTAGTAGGCCCACCGGGTGAGAGAAGGACTACTCAGTCTCCAATGCTCAGTAACCCTGTATTTGTCCTAGTGAGAACTATAATAAGTAACTTCCTCTCCAAACCACAGTTTCCATTTGTTTGATGACCAAGTGATCCTTGTGCTGTGAGAGACTGGCCTATTTGGGGGAAGCTCAAATCATTTAATGGAATTAAAGCTTATGGAGCAGATGGCAGAACATAAAGAAATTTTCTTTTCAGTGTGTACTCAGTTCCTTTTACTGTCCTATTATTTATTTCTTTAGGTTCAGAGCTCCCAGGGGCAGGAAGTTGGCTAATGAGCAAATGCATATCCCTCCCACCTCCCCAGCAACAACAGGGTGCCTGGCACAAGGAGATAGTTAGACCCTCTCTGCTGTATCATTAAAAAAAGGGTTTGGCCGGCGCGGTGGCCCATGCCTGTAATCCCAGCTCCTCTTGAGGCTGAGGCAGAAGATCATGAGTTCAAAGCCAGTATTGGCAATTTAGTGAGGTGCTAAGCAATTCAGTGAGACCCTGTCTCTAAATAAAATACAAAATAGGGCTAGGGATATGGCTCAGTGGTGAAGCACCCCTGGGTTCAATCCCAGATACCAAAAAAAAAAAAAAAAAAAAGACACTCTGGGTCCTAGGGGTTGCGTCAGTGTCCTGGGAATACACACAGATCAATCCTGTTTCTCTGGGAAGTTGTCTGCAAGTTGCATTTTTGCCCATAAAATTCTTTCTCCCAGTTCCTTATGTTTCCTTCCTAGCAGTTGGATATTTTTATTACTTTATGAAAACTTCAAAGGACTGAAGCCCAAGACTTTGACTTGTCCTTTTCTGGTCTTACTTCTTGCTTAAAACAACTGTAACCTCTTCTGCTGCTCTTGCCATGTACACCATTAGCCCACCCGGGATTCTGTGGTCAGTCTGCTGTCCGTCATGAGTGACTCGCCCAGGGCTCCCTGACATCTGCCGCCATTGTTCAGAAATGGGGTCATTTTGCAGGCAAACGATGCCACCTCCAGCAAAAGAGGCATGTTCCTGCAAAGTTTTTAGACATAACCGAGCACCTGAATGACACAGTCCAACCTCAGCAACTGCTCAGCTTCAGCACAGACTGGATGGCTGCCACCATACTGGTGTTGATAGGCCCCAGGGGGCCGCAGTCACAGGGTGGGGGTGAGGGGTCACTGAAAGGCCAAGGTTAGTCGTTGGAGATTAAAATGCACACACACAGATAGCAGTGACAAAGATGAAGCACTTTACTGCAAGCTGGTGCTAGCTTATATAGAAAGTGAGAGTCAGTTTTCTTAAACCAGGAAGCTCCCGGGGCCAATCATAGTAAAGGTCAGGTCATCACCTACAGTGCACGCACATCCGCCCTGCATAAGATTCATAAGGGGCACGAACTGTCCACGAGTACGGAAGACGGGAGGGCCAATTAGAAGGTTTTCAAAACAACTTGTTATCTGCCCACTGGCAACTTGCCCGCCACCATGTTGCATTAGGGGCTCCTTATATGAAAGGTCCAGGGAGTTCTAGCCGCCCACTGGGAATTTGCCCACCGCCATATTTGAAAGGCCCGGGGAGTTCTCAGGGAGACTCCCAACAGCCACCACCTCCACAGCAGGCAGAAAAGTATGTTGTGTCACATAGTGACACTCTGTCAGAACAGCGAGGAAGTGATGTTAGGAATGTGGGGGGTGGGCAGCCAGTGGTGCATGTCCTTTGCCCATAGAGAATAGGACACTAATATGGCTTTCATATCTAAATTCCTCTAGAATAGCTTACCACCCAAAACAATCTCATTAAAGGTCCTAGGTTCCATCTTGGCCCTTTCACACCAGCATACATCCCCAAAAGAAGTCACTGAGGGGAAGCATTCTGGGTCTGGGTGTCTTAGTCCATCCATCCTGTCTCAGTAAAGATTTGTGGCCATGGACTCACTGATTCAAAATCCAGCCTTTGTCAGGAGTACCGATGACATAAGGTAGAAAGCAGACACATTTGCTCAGAAGACAGGACTTTTAGAAGCAGAGAAGTTCCCCTGATAGGTAGCAGTGACATCCTGGAGCATGAGTGTAAGAATGGAGCCTCATGGGGACTACGAGGGCAGAGAAAGCAGAACTATCAGTTTTGCTCCCAACCTGCTTCCCCATAATGCCCCACTGTTGTGGACTCAGGGATTGCCAAGAGACCCGCAAAAGTAACCATTTGACCTCAGCATTGAATGGTGGGCTATGGAAACTTCACACATAAGTAAGAGCCCTAAGTTCTGCAGAACAAACTTAATGATTTGCTTTAATTAATCCACAAGTACTTAATAAGTGTGGTTGAGTCCTTCTTGGATTCCTGTGTCCTCACAGCCACAGGTCCACCCTAAATCCAGGCAGGGGGCACAGTCTATGTGCAAAGACAACCCAGTGCTGGGCTGCAGGTGTGACCAATGCTGAGGTCACTCCCACAGATAGCATGGAAATGGAGAAGGTCCTGAGGTTTCAAGTGTTTAAAGCTCTGGATGGACAGGGAGATGAAGCTCAGGGAGAGGTGGGGCAGGGCAGCACAGCCCAGACCCCAGGAGCAGGGAATGACAGGGTACAGCACTCCCAATTGTCTGCCCAGGAAGTGGTCAGCCCTCCATTCCCAGTGGGTGGTCTTGACACCCAGGGATCTGCTGGAAGAAGCCAACAGTGCTGGATCTTGGAGACACAGAGCTGGCCACGCAGAGCACTGAGGAATTCAGGAGACCCAAAACAGCAGAAACAGCGATGGAGTTTCAGCTTCCTAAGTTGCTTTGTCTTGTTGAGCTCATCTTTTCCAGCCCTGCCTACCACTGACCCAAGGCACTAACCTTGACAAGCAGGGATGGGGCAAGGCACTAGCCTTTCTCAGAGATGTTCTGACAATAAGCCAACTGTAATTAATTATTCATCACCTTCTTTAAAAAGTAGGTATTTCCTAAAGTAGCCTAACAGATCATTTGTGAATTAGTAGCTAACAGGAATATTCAGTCATTTCTCATTTGAATCAACTGGACAGACATTTCTTGGGTGCCTATTGCATATCGAGCACCACTCTTCACATGTTAATGCTGAATTTTCCCTTGGAGTGTCTGAGGAATCCTGTTAACTTTCTGGCTCCCAGTGTGCTAAACCCAGCAAACACATGAGGGGAAGACTGAAAAGCCCCAGAGGAGGCAAGACCCATACAGGAGCTTTGCACCCACCCAGAGGAGCCAACCCCAGACCTGAGCCAGCCAGCCTGTCATAGAGGCAGAGAGCAGATAAGGGCAACCCCAGGGCTTCAACATGGAGGCTGGCCTTGTTGGACAGAAAGCCAACCAGGTTGCCCTTGGGCATCTGGCTTCACGAAGATATGAGGTTGAGGATTTGAATGTTGTGATAAAGGACTCCACCACTCAGCCAAATCTGTCCACTTGCTCTGAGGAGGCAGGGATGGTGTCAACCCTGGTTGTCTTTGTATCCCAGCAAGGGCCCTGTGCCTGGCATGTAGCAGATGCTCAATAGAGGAGCAAGCAAATAAGCAAATGAATGTACAGAGGGTGGGACTGGACTTCAGGAACAGCCACCAAACAGAGGCCTCCTTGAAGGCTTACAGCAGGAACCTAAGGTGTGCAAGAACAATAGAGCTTCTTTCCCTAAAGCACAAGGCACACTCCCCAGTGCTTCCATGAGCTCTATAACTGGACAACCAGTGCCTCCTATACTACAGAGGGGCGGCTGGGACACCTGTATCTATACCTTGGTCTGGGATCCATGGTCTGCAGTTCCTAAGAAAAGCCACAAGCCCTCCTCCACCAACAGCAGACAGTGGTCCAACTGTGGATGCTGGAGTCAGGCTGTGGGTTCTGTGGGTTTCAGACCCTGTGCTGAGCTTTATGACCCAGGGTAGGTCAGAGGAGCCCGTGGCTCAGTGTCTTTTTATGCATGATGAGAGTGTGAGAGAGCCTTTCTTACAGGTTGATGAAGATGACAGGGATTGATGAACTGTTATTTGCACTTGCAATACATTTGGAACCCATCTGGCACATATATGCACATACATACAGGGGACATTAAATAAACATTAAGAAATGTTCTAGAATGAGGGCTGGGGTTGTGGCTCAGTGGTAGAGTGCTTGCCTAGCATGCATGAGGCACTGGGTTCGATCCTCAGCACCATATAAATGTAAAATAAAGATATTGTGTCCACCTAAAACTTAAGAATAAATACTAAAAAAAAAAATGTGTATGTGACAAGACATTTTGAATAGGCTGAGCTGTGGCATGTGGAATTCCACAGTACAAGGATCAGGGCATCCTCCTGAGGTTCTCTCTAGACTTGATAAGACTTGGAGAGGTTCAGAGGTCAGCCATGGGCTTTGATTTCCCTAGGCCCAGAAGCCCTCTTGGGAGATGA